GGCTGAAGCATGGCTCACTTGGCCAAGTGCTTGCCCACACACACACACACACACGGCTACACACACACTCACTTGGCCAAGTGCTTGCCTTGAGCATGAGGACCTGGGCACACTGGTCTGTGCTTTTAATCTGGGCATCAGGGAGCTATTGTAGCCCACTTGGCGAGCTCTAGGGCGGTGAGAAATCCTGTCTCAAAACCAAGGTGGACAGCTCCTAAGGAGTGACACCCGAGCTTGACCTCTGGCCTCCACATGTACACAGTACCCCTTCACATATATCTACACATACATCCACAAAGTGGGGGAGCAAAGAAAGATACAACACATTTCTCTTCCTGTTGCAGTTAGAACTAGGCACAGCTCTGTATCATGGAATTCAGAACCACATGACTCTCCAAGCTGAAATAATAGCCTGGTATAGTAGTGCACACCTTTAATTCTAGCACTCAAGAGGCAGAGGCAGGGGGATCTCTGTGAGTTCCAGGGCCAGCCAAGGTGACATGGTGAGACCCTGCCCCCAAATAAACAAGCAAATAAATGCAACCGATTACTACAAAACTTACTGTTCCTTTTCCCCTAACCCTCTCCCCCACATCCAGAGTGGACCAGCTACCCCAATCCTTTTGCAGACCTTCCTGAATCTTGCCTATGTTCATTAGGCTCTCCCTACAGATGCCCTTCCAAGCATGAGAGAGCGCTCTCCTCACCCGGGGGGCCCTGACACTGAGTAACTAGTTCATCATTGCTTTCTAAGCACATGCACTGTGCTATGCAAGGATTTGTCTGGATGAAGTGTTACTTTCTGGCATCCCCACAGGGCAGGACTGTCGCTGGTTTTGTTCATCATTATATTCTCAAAGCCTGTAACAGTGCCGGGCATATCCCCAGCTCGGTGAGCCTATGTTGTTCAGATAACTGAATAAAACAAAGCACGGTCCTGAGTCCCAGGCTCTCCTCTGCACAAGGCCAAGGCCAGAGCCACACCAAGTTTGATAAAACTCACTTTCTTCGGAAAATGGTGACAGGAAGATGTCCGTAGTGAAGGACCATTATTATATTGTCCCACCCATGCCAGCTCTGGGTAGGTCTGCTCACCTGGATACACTTCCAGCTGGAAACCCACCAAGGGGTAGAGATTCCCAGCCGTGTTACGCATGCACCAGTATCGTCCGGAGTCCTGGACCCTGAGGGCCTCCATGGTGATGTAGACAACCTTGGCCTTGGCGTCATCCCTTATGGAGTAGCTGGGCCCCTTCACCCAGCCCCGGATGAAGTTCAGCTCACACTTCTTCTTCTTCACTTTGCACCAAGCCTTGCTCTCCACACGGTTCCGGCGGTTCTTGTAGGAGCACTGCACGGACAGAGACTCCCCTTCACGCCGCTGCACTTTCCGGTACACGTTCTCAATGGAGGGACCTGGGGAGATAGGACTTGCTGAGCAAGGTCTGGAGAGGAAGAAGAAGCCATCTTGAAACTGGCAGCTGGAGGCAAGAGGAGAGGAGGATGTAGCCCTGGCTTTCATGGAGCTCAGCGTGAGGTGGAAGCACAGCTCTGCCCTCGGGGCGTCAGGGAGAGGCATGGGCCCCACTAACAGCTTGCTCCCCCAGTCTGATGGAGGAGACCTCAGTTCAACGAGGAAACCACCCTAGCAGGAGCTCTCCACCAGATATAGTCTCTTCCTCTGGATGTTTTCTGGTCTTCAGGGATGCCCAATATTTCAAGACAGGCCCAGGCTCTGCCTGAGACAGATATGCAGACACAAACAGGTCTAGTTCTGGACTTGAGAGCCCAAACTACTGATGTGATGAAAAGGTCCAGTATCTAGGAAAATGATGAAGAGTTATTTCTCCTAGTAATAATTTTTCCTCCTCCTCTTTCTCTCTTCCCTCTCCACTTTCTCCTTTTGGTTTTGTATGTCATGATGGGGATCACACCCAGTGCCTCAAGCATGTCAGGCAAGCACTACTGAGCCACACTTCTGCCCTCTATTTGAATACCTTTTAAATAGCACTCTCCATGGTGCTTACCTTTTAAATATTCCAGTTTCATAAAACCTGCCACATAGATAAAGCTTGACACACACACACTTGAGCCCAGCCCCCACTGATGAGCCAGCCGATGGATTCCACGTTATCCACTGTTCATCCAATGTTTTGACGTGGCAACTTGGCTTTGTCATCTATAATTGTATTGGGCAAGTCCTAGCTAGCCCAGGGTGCATGGGGCCTGCAGACCATAGGCTGGACATGCCTGGAAGAGCATCTGGCCTCTGTACTCATGAGATGTGACACAAACCCGTTAACAGCATGAGGGAGGAAGATGTAGAGTTTAAGGCTAACCTGGGATACCTAGTGAGTTCAGGCTAGCCTGGAAACAAAAGCCTGTCTGTAAAGAGAAAAGAGGGCCAGGGAGAGAGTTCATGAGTGAGACTGCTGAGCTTGAGAGGCCGAGTTCAAATCCCAAGACTCACGAGAAATGCCCAGCACCTGGACCCAGCGATGGGCTGGGGGGCGGGGCCAGAAGATGGCCAGGTCTGCAATGTGTGTATAACACACACACACACACACACACACACACACACACACACACACACGGGAGAGAGAGAGAATGAATATGAATGAATACATGAAAGCGGTCTGTGTCCTTCATAATCCAATCTGTTGAAGAAATTAGGGACAGAGGTGGCAGGATGATTCGGGGAACAGAGGGAGAGAGCAGCTTTACACAAGACCCCCGAAGCCACTTGTCACCTTAGCGGAAGCTCTGAGAGTCTCCTTCCCTTGCAAAGTCAACAACAGAACAGAGCAGGCCTCTCCTATTCACCTCTGCTGAGCGGTGTTTTGAGAACCTCCCCCCTGCCAGCTGAGCAACAGAGGTGGGACCCCCCGGAGGAAGCCTCGAGGGGTCCTGGGCTCCCTGGTGCCTTCACTTTGTCCAACGGTGAGGGGTGGGTTTGGCAGCCCTCACCACACCTAGGACGGAACAGGAAGTGGTAAGTGGTTGCCTTGGCAGCCAGGCAGGCAGGAATGAATGAGCCCCCTGCAGAGAGTAGCAGTGAGTAGGAAAGGCCCTTGGGGATTGGTTCCCTTCAGGTCAGAGCAGAGGGACCGGATATGGCATCAGCATTCCGAGAAAAGGGGACTTCAAAGTGTGCAGACATGCTACAAGAACTCACAACAGCACCAGTCAGAACTCAATCGACAGACAAAGGGCAAACGGGCAGTTTCTGTGAGGAGATTCTCCATACCAAGGAAACCCAGCAGATAAAGGCCAACAAAGAGGACACAGCTACACCCTCTGTGTGAGGCCTGGTGAGGTCTGCCTGGGGCCAGATATTAGCATGGGACATTCTCACTGGTCCCTGGTGAAGACCCAAGTCAGCCCAGTCTCCTTCCCCAGCCCACAAAACATGAAGACAGTGGAGCAAGAAAAAGGCAATGGTGTGTGTGTGGGGGGGACCAGACAGGAGGAAGTGGTTTTTCTCTTCTCTCAGCCCCCACCTCTCACCTGAGACACAACCCTGTAGACACAGCAGCAGCAGCAGCATGAGAGGCCATGGCTCCATCCAGATGAGCAGTCTGTCACCCAGGGAATCTAGGACCCACACTGACCCCAGGCATGCCACTTGGGTCTACCAGGGAGGGATGTCAGGGTCTGAAAAGTACCGTTGCCTATTTCGGGAAGTGAGGCTGTGTGGCACACAGTGCTCCAGCAGAGCCTATCACAAGTGTGGGGAGAGCAAGCGAGGGCGGGCGCTGCTTGTTTCCGCCCTCTTCCTCAGAACTTCAGGCAGGTGTGGCTGTTCCACCCTGGGGCCCCTGGGTCTGGGGAAGCTCGAGATCCACAACCTCTGTGATTCTCTACAGAAAACCCGACCCGACCCATCCGGGGCATCTCCTCATCCAAGAGGTCTGCTCCACCCAGGGAACTGGAGGGGAGGCTTCTGGGACATTCCGTACAGACTTTATGGGATCTTCTGGGTTCAGAGGTTCGGGAGCTGGTGTTCTCTGGCAGGCCTTGACACTCCTTCACAAAGAAGGTCTTAGTCTGGTGAATTGCGTTCCTTCTGTCATCCTGACCCTCCAGGTCCCGGCTGCTTACACCGCTCGCTCCTGTTCACTGTTGCAAATAACCACTCACAGGCTCACGTGCGGCTTATTTTTGTCATGGGGAAAATATGCAAATTTTAAAACCCGCACTCACACAGGCCTCTCCATTTCCCTGTCCACACATTTCCCTGGCTCTGTCCTTTGCCGCCCCTCCTGCGGTCTCCAACTCCCTCACCGGCTCTCTCTGGCCCTCCACTCCTCCCAGGCTCCCAGACTTCTAGAAACACAGCCAGCCTCCCCTCCCCCATCTCCTCTCGGATTGCCCCGCCCTCAGAGCCCCTCCCTCCCCTTGTTCTGCCCGCTTAGACATCGTCGGAGCCCCGACCTGTCCCTCCACTTCCTTTCCAGGCATATCTCTCTTCCACAGCCACCCGCTCTGACCCAGCATCTGGCCCAAGACTCCACCCTTCCCCCAGTCCCCGAGGAATCTTTGGGCTGCTGACATCCAGCAGCTCTGCAACCCCATGACTGTATGTGTTCCCCATACTTGTTTAGTCCCCCCACTCCCCCACCCCCGCAAACAAAAAGTCCCCCGATTTGCACAGCCACTCCCAAATCCCAGACCAAAGGAGTTTTAGCTTTGCTCACTTCAAACTTCGCACATCTTTTAACTCATTCATTCATTAGTTCTTACAACCTCCTTGCTACGCATGGCCCTGGACACTATGGGTAAAAGAATGAGACACACTTGTCCTGTAAGGGTTCTGATGTGGCGTTCAAAGGGGACACTGAGATACGTTATCTATTGGGGGGGGGGTTGTATTCAGTGCTGTGAACAGAAGTTCCTGGGAAGAGCAGCACCTGATCCTGAACCTTCTACAAAGCTGGTTGCCTGACTCACTCATGGCCGCTTTCCCATTGCTTCGATCTCAGTGCCTTGACTTCCCCACCAAGATGGCTGTTCCCTTAAACTGCACTCCCAAGCCAGCCAAGTCCACTGGCAAGATGGGACTCCGCAGGCAAACGAGCTTGTTGATGAGCCTGGGGACCAGAGTTCCATTCTCAGAGTCACATGG